TCTTCTTTAATTCAGAGACATTTGTTGTGCGTGCGTATTTTTGTTACCTAATTGTATTTGTTGCTTAATTAAACAAATTGTTAGAATTGTTATTGACAGTTGAAGAAACGCAAGAGAATCTTCTTTAAATATGATAAAGCAGACTTTTTTTTTATTTCTAACTAATGCTGATTTCGAACACACTTGAATGCATTATAATTAAAAAGAGATAATTTTATTGTTGTAGTTAATTTTTATTTATTTATTAATCTATTAAAAAAAATTGCGTTGCAATCTTTTTGGAAAATTTTATAAACGTTGTTGAACAGCCGATCCAATTGTTTGAGTTTGCGACTGCTGATGTCCAACTTCGTAGCCTTGTAATTTTGAACCCGATTCAGAAGACAAGAGAACGCCTGTATCGAGCATTTTGGAGAAATTTGCTTTCGCGGACCACTTTTTTGATTGAACTAATCCGCATTTGCGTTACATGGAGAGGAGGATCACGAAAGCCTCCCGCGGTTAGTCTGACGGCAAGGGTAACCAATGATCCGTCAAAGAGGATATTTTACGTCAGCACCGTGGTAGGTGCAAGCCGGATACGGAAATCGTGTCGAGCAGTCATCGCTGGGAATCGAACCCGGCTCACCTCGTTGGAAGGTGAATGCTCTATCCCCTGAGCCACCGCGGCTCTTTTTGCAATATTGCCAAAAGGCTTAAATACTTCAAACAACGCTTTTATTTCGCATCGCATAAAAAAAGAGATTATAAATATTTTAGGAAGGGCGCCAGTACGAGATTTGCCATAGGCGCTTCCTTCCATAGATACGCCTCTGGTTGTCACGACACTAAAATATCTCCATATTATTAAACAAAAATAGTCCAAAATACCTGATAATTTCACAAATTAAAATGTTCATACTAATTAATATATAATTAATATGCGATTAATATATAAAATTAACAAAGAAAGCACTTGATTTTGTTATCACCTGGCAAGGAAAAGGATCTAATGAAGCCTAATAAATAATCGTGAATGAAATGCCTACGGAATCGGAATTGAATACAAATGCGACTTCTATTCGTAAAAGTACATTATTTACTGAACACTTACAAAATTATGGAAAAAATACTTAAGTATATTAACAATCAAGCGATTACGATATTTAACAATAAAAAGGTAACACATAATAAAATAAACAAATGAATAATAGCGAAAAGAATATTTGAAATCCAAAACTATAAATAAATAAATAAGATTGGTAAATAAGAAAATCCTACATAACAGATTTAATAGCGTGAATCGAATGCTTCCGGAACTAAATATAATTGTGGTTTCTTTATATTAGGTATACGTTATTTATTAAACACTTGCACGGGTAAAGAAAAAAAAAACAACAACACTTAACTACATAATTAATCAAGCGATTATAATATTTAAAATTATAAGATTTAACGCATTATAAAATTGGCGATCGCAACGCTCGAATACGCCATCTAGGGAGAGACCGGTTTCATGCTTTCGGCCCTTCTCCCTTCCCTCTCCTCCTCTTTTCAGTTGTATAGGAATGTACTACGATATTTTCCCTTTTAATTTAATAAAAATATTTTTTAAAATTTCTGTGATGTTTTTCTTTAGAACTATGTTTAATGTAGTTTTCAGTTCCATACAGTCTTGCAACGTAAAATATTTTAATCTATATGAAAATCAAGACAGAAACTAACGTACTTCCTTTCTCTTTGACTCTCCGCAGGCTAATGGGGAAAGCATGTAAAGTTTTGCCATAGGAAGAGAGTTCTGCCCTACGACACTTGCAGCCCATTTCAATCGCCAATAAACAAATACGACAACAAATAATAGAATATTTTTAAAATTCAAAGATAATAAATAAGCAAACTTACCATAAAGTTTTTAATGGATTCTTCAAATTTCCGAAAAATAAATATTAATTATTTTAAAACAATGTACATATATCAATGGCGAAACAAGTGCATGTTGCAATGAATTGCTGCGCTAGAATGGGACTTACGCACAAGGCGGGTATAAGGCACTGACTGGCGACGAAAACAGCAAATAATGTCGCCACAAGAAATAAAAATAGTAACCTTTCATTTATTGCCACCACATGAAACAGACTTTCATTTCCTTCTAATCTTAGGCTAATATCTACAAAATCAAAAAGCAGCAAGTCGCTAAAAGCTGGGAAATTATTCTTCACTAATTACTTAGGGAGCGTTCTCTCATGGTATGTGATCGTACGTAAATTCAATTCATACTCGCGCGATCAGTTTTTATTTTATTTTATGACCGCCGTTGAACAGTCGACCCAATTTTTGGGTTAACGACTACAAATGCTCAACGCCGTAGCCTTGTAATTTTGAACCAATCCAGAAGACAAGGAAACTCCTGGAACAAATCAATACTCCCAGAGGTATTGATTTGTTATGGGAACATGGAGGACTTTGAGACTCGACAGATTTAACGTGTATCAGTCACCATTTGCGTGATCAGTTTGTCTAAAATTTAGTTCCTAGACGTGCGTGTGAATGTTTAGAAACTAAATTTTGGACAAACTGATCGCGCAAATGGTGACTGATGCACGTTAAATCTGTCGAGTCTCAAAGTCCTCCATGTTTCCATGACAGATCCATATCTCTGGGGGTACCGATCCAGGAGATTCACACGGACGTCTAGGATAATAGGCTACCGAAGCGGGGATGCCATCCCCTCCACAGAGGATCAAAATTGTGATGGCATGTCTTCGGATCATCCTCCGGGATGTTTCCCAGACCGTCGCCAATAGCCCATTGTGCAGCTCCAGTGTGACGTAAATTAACAACAACAGCAACAACAGCAGAGTAAATGGCTCATTTAATGTACTCTTCGGCTTAATCTTTTTGTAAATACAAACATAACAATACTTTAAGCGAAGGATAACTTATTTCTAACAACGCATCTCAGATGACTGACATGCTTATGCCAACTTCAAATCAAAATGTTTCTTTTTTCTACATAAAAGTTTCATGTTCAAGTTGGCATCAAGTGGAGAGGGCGATAGAAAATCTTTTGAGTTTAATGCTTTCAGGAAGACTGTACTGTGGGTAGTTTACGAACAAAACGATTTAAATTTATATGTGGTTTTCAATTCTCAATTGCACCGATAAAAACTCGAAAGTTTGGATACGTTTTCGAGTTTAGTCCTTTTACGAACATGAAATTTTAGTTGAGAGAGTTCTATTTTCTGAAGTCTCACCTAGTAGTTTTACAATATGAGAATGAGAGGAATTTATTATTAGTGTGAATTATTCTTTTTCTTATTTTCAAATATACTAACGTATTTATTAAATTTAGGAAGATGCAGCCTCCACCGAGAAAGGTTTGAAATAAAATTTTTATAGATATTAATTAAATAACATTTGGGCTGTAGTCGAACTTAAATAAAGATTATTAAAATCGTTTTGTAGATTGTTAAAATAAATTATAGTTATTTATGAAATTTTTTTGTTTTTGTTTTACTTCATATTTCTGTGCCCGCTACTTAATAAACTGAATGTTTGTAATCCTATAGCTTTTTACCTAAACCAAGTGCCAGAAGCAAATTTATTATAGTTCGTTTCCTATATTTGAATTTTTATCTGTTGATAGACTTCATTTCTAAAAAATATTACTATTGCTCAGACTTGCTAAATTTTAAAACCATTTTTTTCTACATTATATCAAATTTATGTTGAATACTTTTTATGTTGTGCCCTATTCAAGATTTAAATTAACTGCGGATGATATTGTGAATATGTTATTGTAAATAAAATCTGTTATTGTAAATAGAATATTGTATGAAATATTTTTTTAAAAAGGAATTCACTTTTCCTCACAGTAATATATCTGTAAAATATATTAACAGGTAATTACGTATAATTATTCTTGGTTTGACTATGAACTTAAATTCATGTTTCTATGAATATTCCACATATATGAAATATAATTTATGTCTGATAATATTTGTTTTATTGAAAAAAGATGTATTGTTAATATTATTTAATTATATTGTACTGTTGCCATTATTGTAACTTAAATAATAATTAACTGATGCTTGTTACCCATAAATTATTATCTTATTTATTATTTTGTTAATGGTAAACAAATTCTGTTAAAATGTTCAAAATCAGTGGCATGAACAGATATTTCAGAAAAGGGTTATATAAAAAATACTTGGATTTGAATTAAAACATGTTAATTATAAGAGAAATTAAATTATCTCTTTTTTTTTTAAATTAAAGAATGGATATTTTTGTTACCTATTATTGGTTTAAATTTTCTGGGGTAAAATAATCATTAAGCAATAGTAACTTCTCTGCAGCATCCCTCTAGAAACCAAAAGAATAAAAATAAAGAAGTGACTCATTTTGAGGGTATAACTTGGAGTGATCCCTGGAAACATAGCATAGAAAACATATAACATAAACCCATAAACATAGAAAATTTTAAAAGTGAAACATTTTTTTAAAACAAAGTTTAAACTTCTTATGGTCTTATGGACATAACAGAATATGTTGCAGCATCCTTAATTATTTCATTAAAGTAAAATCATAATTTTCATAAAATTTTTAAGCGTATGAAAGCTAATAAAAATAGGAAAAGGTGTAAATGTTAACATGAGTTGTTTTAACAGAAATAATTAGAACTGTTAGATCTTTTTTGAATTAAATTATATAATTTTAAAGTTTTCAAATCTGGCATTTGTAAATGTTGTAAGTGTAAGCTTATTTAAAAAAAAAAGGTTGTTACAAATTTTTTTATAATATATATATATATATATNGTTTGTGAAAATTGCAACCCCATGAAGGACTTACGCGAGTGAGCTGAAATTTTCAGGAAATGCAAACTAGAGCATAATATGCAAATGATTAGAATTTCAGACCCGTAGCACATGCGTATGCCGAGCAACGCCCTCTAAACGGCGAATGGATCCAAATAAATAGACGTCTGTAGCGAGGCGTGTATGGTTATCGGTGGTTATCTGCTAGTGGAAAACGTTAGCTCAGACGTTACTTATGCCTCTTCAACAAAAGAGAGCAAGATTTCTACAATTTACGGAGTTTGAAAGGGGGAGAATCATCGGCCTTGGTGAAGCTGGATTGTCTTATCGTGCAGTAGCCGCTCGTGTGCAGCGTAACAGCAGCACAGTGATGCGTGTTTGGAAGCAGTGGACGGATGAGTGTGAGACAACTGAGAATTCCGGGAGTGGACCCCGAAATGTCATGTCCACTTGCAATGATAGACACCTGGTCCGCATGGTGCTGACAGACCGTACGACTCCCTCTAGACAACTGGCAGCACAGTGGTCAATAGCTACAGGTGTTTCATTGTGTGCTTCATCAATTCGTAGACGTCAACTGCAGCGTGGACTGCGTACAAGGGTTCCTTTATACACAGGGGTCTGTCCAGGCCGAATTTACTACCGTTTAGCGGTACCTTCACAAATTCAATTTTAGGTGAAACGGTAGTTTCACAAATTCAACTTTAGGAAAAACGGTAGTTTCACAAAATACTTTTTCTTAAAATTTTATTTTTGTATCCCTTAAGAAGCGATAAATCTATATTTTTACCATGTTTTTGTATTGATTTTGTAATATAATTTTTAATTTTTCACAAATTATGTCTAAATTTTCACAAAATAGGTACCTTTCAGAAAAACCTAGACAGACCCCTGATACAGGACCATCACGCTAAACCACAGCCGCCTGCGGCTACAATGGGCCAATTAGCATAGGGACTGGCGTGCTGATTGGCAGCGTGTCGTGTTTTCTGACGAATACCGCTTTAATTTGTGGTACCATGAAGGCCACATTCACGTCAGATGCAGATGCTATGCCGGTAAATGCCACCCTCCGGAGTCAGGGGTCTGTCCAGGCCGAATTTACTACCGTTTAGCGGTACCTTCACAAATTCAACTTTAGGAAAAACGGTAGTTTCACAAATTCAATTTTGGAAAAACGGTAGTTTCACAAAATACTTTTTCTTAAAATTTCATTTTTGTATCCCTTAAGAAACGATAAATCCATATTTTTGTGTTGATTTCTTAATATAATTTTTAATTTTTCACAAATTACGTCTAAATTTTCACAAAATAGGTACCTGTCAGAAAAACCTAGACAGACCCCTGGGAGTGCATTATCGAAAGCCACGGTGGGCGAACACCCAGAGTTATGGTCTGGGGTGCCATAGCATATTATGGACAATCTAAATTGCTACAAATTGTGGGTAATCTGAACAACAACCGGTACATCAGTGAAGTTTTACTGCCCCAAGCTGTTCCCTTCCTTCAAGCCTTGCCAGGCGCTGTATTTCAACAAGACAATGCCCGCCCTCATATTGCTAGGACTGATCAATCCTTCCTTGCATTGCGGCAGGTACCACTTTTTCCTTGGCCTGCGTATTCCTCAGATATGTCACCGATTGAACATGTGTGTCATTTCGTTGGTCAGTGCCTCGCTCGTGATCCTCGCCCTGGTGATCCTCGTCCTGTTACTTCTACAGACGAACTTTGGGTACGCATGCAAACTATATGGAATGCTCTCCCTCAGGCAGACATTTAAAATTTGCTTGACTCCATGCCACGTCGTGTAGCAGCTTTTATTGCGGTGCGTGGTGGCTACACAAAATACTGATTTCGATCTCTTGTTATAGTTTGTTTGCTTTGAAATTTTAATCATTTATTTGTACCACTACCACTCAACTGTATAGTAAATTTCATTCAATTATGACGATTCCTTCATGGTGTTGCAATTTTCACAAACAGGAGTTTAT